CTCGGTGTTTCTTCCGCGACTCCACCACCCTGACGCCGCTTCCTGTTCCTGCTGCCGTTTCTCTTGCTGACCCCTCCGGCAGTCCGGTAATCGCCCGCAGTTCCACCACCCTTCCCTGTCCGGCGGTTCCTTCGGGCTCTCTTACAGGTCTGCATATCCCCTCGTTCTCCAGGAACCTAGTTGGTGTCGGCTGCCTCCAGGACCTTGGCGTCACCACTACGTTCCCTGGTCACGAGCGGTATGCTGTCTGTACCGAGGCCGCCACTGGTGCCCCCCTGTCCACGTTCCCCCGGGACCCGGTGTCCGGCCTGTTCACTCTGGACACCGTGCCCCCCCCGGCTGGAGCGCCCCCTCAGGTGGCTGTGTCTACCCAGGTTGCTGCTGCCTGCTCCTGTCGCTCCCTCACTCACCCGACCCTCCTGTGGCACCACCGCCTAGGTCACCCTGCGCTCCCGCGTCTGCGTCACATGTCCCAGCACGGTCTTGTCCTTGGTCTCCCAGGTTCACTCCCCGCGTTTCCCTCCTCCCCAGCTCCACCTTGCACGCCTTGTGTCGAGGGTCGGCTTCGCCGTGCCCCTCACTCCTCCTCGTTCCCCCCTACCGCCGCGCCGCTGCAGACCCTGCACCTGGACGTCTGGGGCCCCGCCCCCGTCCCTGGGCCGCGTCGCGAGCGCTACTTCCTTGTGCTTGTCGACGACTTCACTCGTTACACCACAGTCTTTCCCCTGGAGCGCAAGGCCGACGTGCCTGGCGCCCTCATCCCCTGGCTTGTCTCTGCGCGTGTCCACCGCGGTCTCCCTGTCTTGCGTCTTCACTCAGACCGTGGTGGCGAGTTTGCCTCAGGTGTCCTTGGTCGCTTTTGTCGTGCGGAGGGCATCACCCAGACGTTCACCCTACCGGACTCCCCACAGCAGAATGGGGTCGCTGAGCGATGCATCGGCTTGGTCATGGAGGTCGCTCGCACCTCCATGGTCCATGCCGGTGCACCCCATTTTCTGTGGCCGTTCGCTGTGCGCTACGCTTCTCACCAGCTTAACCTGTGGCCGCACCCTCAGCAGCCGCAGGTTTCGCCGACCCGTCTGTGGACTGGGTCTCCTGGTGACGCGTCTGCGTTCTACGTCTGGGGCTGCCTTGCTCACGTCCGTGCCTCCGGCACGGACAAGCTCACTGCCCGCACCCTTCCCTGCGTCTTCCTCGGTTTTCCCCTTGACGCGTCCGACTGGCACTTTTACCACCCGCCGTCTCACCGCTTCTTTCACTCTCGTGACGTCACCTTTGACGAGTTCGTCTCCTACTACCGCCGCTTCCCCCACCGTGGTCCCCCGGTTACCCCCCCCGTATTCCTGGTCACCCCTTCCCCGGTAGTCCCTGCCCCTCCTCCTCCTCCTCCCCGTCCCGCCCCCTCTGGTGTCTCCCACGTCACCCCCCTTCCGTCGGTGGACCCGGTTGAGGAGTCTTCTGACTCTGGTGGCCCTCCGGTGCAGTCCTCGCCGGCCGCCCCTCCCCAGGTGTCCCCTCCCCAGTCCCCTCCTCCGCCGTCCCTGCCGCCACTGCAGCCGTCGCCGTCGCCGCCGCCGCCGCCGCCGCCGCAGTCGCAGCCCCCGTTCGCTGACTCTGGGGGTGCTCGTCCCGGTCGCCCTGAGGGTGGTCCCTCTGGGGGTGCGGGTGTGGAGAGTGCCGGTGGTAGCCGAGGAGCAGCTTGCGGTCCAGGTGTCGCCGTTGTGTCGCCGCAGCAGCAGTCCCCGCCGGTGTCCGCCCTTCGCCTGCTCGGCCTTCCGTCCCCCGACCCTGCGTCGGTTCCTCCCCGACCGTCTCCTCCTCTTCCTGTCTACGGCCCTGTTTTCCCTCCGCCGGACTCGTCCCCGGCCCGTCTCCCCCCTCGTTCCCCTCCTGTGTCCCCTCCCCTGTCTCCTGACCCGACTCCTCCATCGCACGTCTGGTCTCACCGTCCCTCCCGTGCTCGTCCTGCCTCGCCTGTCCTGCGCTCCCACCCTATGTTGCTTCGTTCACACGCGTCTCGTCCTCCCCTTCTGCCGTCGCCTCCTCCGTCCTCCCTTGTTGTTGCGCCCCCCCCGCTGTCCGACTACCTTCGTGCCGCTCGTCCTCTCGTTCCTCGGGTCCTTGCCTCTCTCGTTACCGACCCGTCTGTTCCGGTCTCGTGCCTTGACGCTCTTATCGCTGCTGTCGCTGACTTCGCCTCTACCCGCCGCCTTGACTACGCCACCGCTCTGGTCTCTGACCCTGCCTGTCCTCCGTCTGTCGGGGGTGCTCCTGCCCTTGGCAGTGACGTCCTGGAGGACCGCCAGTTCGAGCTTGCTTTCCTCTCCGAGGCTGCTCCCCATCTCTGTTCCATGCTGCTAGTCCCTGAGGGTGACCCAGACGCTTTCGACATCCCGACCCCTCGCACTTACGCTGAGGCGACTTCGGGACCCTGGGCCTCGCAGTGGATAGCTGCCATGGAGCAGGAGATGGCATCTTGGAGATCCACCGGCACCTTCGTCGACGCAGTTCCCCCACCTGGGGTGAACGTAGTCGATGGCCGCTGGCTCTTCAAGGTGAAGCGCCCTCCTGGAGAGCCGCCTGTCTTCAAGGCGCGCTATGTGGCTAGAGGCTTCAGTCAGCGCGAGGGGGTGGACTTCTTCCAGACTTTCGCTCCGACCCCGAAGATGACTACTCTTCGGGTTCTGTTACACCTAGCTGCTCAGCGTGACTACGAGCTTCACTCCCTCGACTTCTCCACTGCCTTCCTTCAGGGCAGCCTACACGAGCAGGTCTACCTGCGCCGCCCTCCGGGCTTTACGGGCACCTTCCCTCCTGGGACCCAGTGGCTCCTGCGGCGCCCCGTCTACGGCCTGCGCCAGGCTCCCCGTGAGTGGCACGACACTCTGCGTGCTACGCTTGCTGACCTGCAGTTCTTTCCGTCTTCTGCAGACCCTTCACTCTTCGTTCGTACTGGCCAGACTCCGTTCTACATCCTCGTTTACGTCGACGACCTGGTCTTTGCCACAGCAGACAGGGACGCGCTGGCCTCCGTGAAGGCAGAGCTGCTGAAGAGACACACCTGCACTGACCTTGGAGAACTGCGCCGTTACCTTGGCTTGCAGATCTCCAGGGACAGAGCTGCGCGCACCATCACCCTGACTCAGTCACACTTGGTGCGCCAGGTCCTTCAGAGGTTTGGCCTTCAGTTCTCCTCTGCACAGCCCACCCCTCTGCCTGTAGACCACAGGCTCTCCGCTCCAGTGCCTGAGGAGTTGGTAGAGCCCAGCGGCCCCTACGCAGAGCTGGTGGGTTGCATCATGTACATGATGACTTGCACTCGCCCAGATCTCGCATACCCTCTCAGCATCCTGGCTCGTTTTGTGGCCACAGGCAGACACCGACCGCAGCACTGGTCTGCCGCTAAGAGGGTTCTGCGTTATCTTGCTAGTACATCAGGCATGGGGTTAGTGCTAGGAGGACGCAGGCCAGCGGTCCTTACTGGGCACACAGACGCTTGGTGGGCGGACGACGCTGAGACACTCCGGTCTACCCAGGGCTACTGCTTCAGCCTTGGCTCAGGTGCCGTCTCGTGGAGAGCTACTCGCTCCTCGTCTGTTGCACAGTCCAGCTGTGAGGCTGAGATCTACGCCGGTGCCATGGCGGCACAGGAGCTCCGCTGGCTGACCTTCTTGCTCACTGACTTAGGTGAGCGGCCTAGCTCTGCCCCGGTCCTGTTCGCTGACAACAGGGCCATGATCCTCCTGTGTCAGGAGCCTCGACTCGAGGGCAGAGCGAAGCACATTCAGCTGCGGTACTTCCTCCTGCGTGAGCTACAGCAGCGACGTCAGGCTCGCGTAGTACACTTGGCCTCAGGTGCCAACACGGCTGATATCTTTACGAAGGCGCTTGCGCCTAAAGATCATCAGCGGCACTGTGTACAGCTTGGTCTAGTTCCTGTAGCCTCTCACTTGCTAGGACCTTGACTTTGTACTGTCCTTTATATGTATACTCAGACTGGACTTGTGTCCTCTCCCAGTGGCTGGACTAGTAGTGCCGCCCTGCTCTTGTGCTTGCCTTGTCTGTACTCCTTCTGACCGGTCGCTCAGACCCTTGCCTCAGAGGTTGGACTAGTAGTGCCACCCTGAGCTGCTTGTTTAGGGTATTCCCCTATGCAGTCTAGGGGGTGTGTCAAACATGTGTATTTGTCATGTTTGTATAGACTGTATAGAGTCACCTCTTAGAGGATACAAAACTTGGATATATTTGTGTGTACTCTCACTTTACCATTATTCAATTATTCTGATAGTTTATCCTATCCAAAGGGAATAGACCCTTCTAGAAATTGAATCACCCTGCGTATAGTCACGCGAGGCTATCTGCTTTAAGGGATTAATGCAGGATTACGCTAGGTATAGCGCGCCAGCCAGTACATCCCGAGCCTGGTCGGTGATATAATTATAATAATAGGATAACCCAAAGGATAATAAGAAAAGGAGGAATAGGAAACCAAATGGGATGAGATAAAGATAAAAGGAATCATGATAAAAAGAAGAATGAGATAGAGGACAAAGATGGAAATGAGAAAGAAGTGTAACGGGGTCGTACTCTCACAGATATACTCTTGTACCCCAATCCGTCAGCCAGCTCATTATCTTCTCTCGACACCATGTAGCCTGTCCTGAGCCGCATGCACTTTCGTGAGCTTTTCACATTTCATGTTCGTCGAGTGCGCTACGAGCCCATTTTCCCGCCACGCGTCTTAGCTCTATCGAGCTTGCATGTTTGCTTCCTACCTAGCTATAGCCTAGTGTCGGGCTGGTTGTGATGTTGCCAATTGTGTGATCTTTCTCGATAGTGAGATTTCCGATTCTCCCTTCTTGCGCATCATACCAGGATCATAGATTTACGGAGAGAAAAATTCTGACGGCCACCATGAGGTTCGACCTGCCGGCAGGAGCCAGAAACGGAACCGCTTCGAAAATAGAACGTGTTTAGTAAGCAGCTCGATTCAAATTTGTTGATTTTCTACATTTTTATGGATTTAGGAGAAAGTATACTTGGAATTAGGAAAATAAAAGACGTGGGTGGAAGTTGAATAGGAAAGGACATACCAAGACCAAACCGACCATGCCACGGGTACAAGAGGAGGATGCAGCAGTGGAGGAGAAACTAGTGTCACTCCATCGCATGAATCCACCATGCTTATTATTCCACCTCCCAGCTCCCACTCTACCAGGAGCTTATTGTTCCTTCTCATGCTCAATCGCCTCTACTTTACCGGGCACGCGGCCCTGTCATTGTCTGTGTTTGCCCTTGTCCGTCTGTTGCCGTGTCAGCTGCTCGATACAAGCCTCCATCGTACCCCCCCTCCCTCTCCGCAGCCCCCTGGCCGGAGCTGGATGGGGGGTGCACTCCCATGGCGGGTGCAGGGCCCCACAGGGGACCCAAGGTGTCCGCCTCGAGTGCGGGACAATGCGGCTGCGCTGCTTGCTGTGAGTAGGCCACGGCGTGAGCGCCGCTCATGCTGTGCTGCTGCGTGCTGCTGGGGCTGCTCAAGGAGCTCGCGTCGAAGGGGGGCAGGCCACCGTGCCCCGATGAGGGCGTTGCAAAGCCGCTGGAGCTCGCATGTATGCTGCCGGCAGCAGCGTCTGAGGGGCCGGCTGTGAGCTGGTCGCGGATGCTGCGCAGCGCGCACACCACCTGCTCCATGTCGGGGCGCAGCGACGGGTGCTCCGCCGTGCACCACAGCGCGACGCGCAGGAACGTGCCAAAGGTGTCCTCCAGCCCCTCCACCATCTCGCCCGCACTCACACTCCCGTCTGCAGGCCCGGCAAGATACACACCCCCACCACCAGCACCAGCCGTGGCGGCCCCCGCGGTCGTGGCCACAAGCACGTCGCGCAAGCGGGGGTCGATGACGGAGGTGAGGCCGCCCGCCCCGAAGGCGAGGTGCAGCGCGACCTGGCTGAGCGGCACGCCGTGGATGAGCGCAGGCTGGCCCGTGGCGAGCTGCAGCAGCACCACGCCGAAGCTGTACACGTCACTGCGCTCCGTCAGCACCTCCGAGTGCTGGAAGTGCGGGTCGATGTAGCCCTGGGGTTTGGAGTTGGAAGTGGGGAGGGAGGGCTACAAGACAGAATCTGAAACTGAAACATAACGATATGAATTTTGCATTCATAGCATGACATCTACAGTGTGTCGATTCCTCCAGGGCATGTGCTCAACAGATATGCTGCAAAAAACTTGTTAAGCGTTTTTAAGGCTAGCTTTTAAACGCTAAACGCTCAGGAGCTGGGGGCAAACGTTTGGAAAACGCTAGGTCGGGCAGGGCAGGAAAAAACTTTTGGGTAGGGCAAAAATATTGGTTTCAAGGGGGGGGAAAGGGGGTTCGAGAGCACCAAGTTCCAACAAGGGGTTGTTAAAGCAAGGATTCTCATAATTCAGCCCATAAATAGCTAACTGCTGCACAAGTTTTATCGATTTCTCTCTGTCAGGCTGCCCCCCAAAAAAAGGCGAGCGTTTGCGTTTTTCTAGCGTTCAAACGCTAAACGCTTGCCTGCCAGAGCGTTTTTTGCAACATAGTTCAAAAGTGATGCTTCCTTGTGCTAGATGTTTTTCAGGAGAGGCCGGTAAAATCAGCAGCAGGGGGCACGATGATCCGAATTGTTTCACCTTGCTCCCAATCATCTGATAGAAGTTTTATTCTGAGATGTCTCAAAGCCTAGCTCCCGATCATCTCACCCTTGCTCCCGATCAGCTGGTGGGGCACTGGGACCGTCCCGATCAGTGTGGGAGGGCTACAGGTTCGTCCCAGGGGTTAATGGGTGCGCAAGCCCACCGAACACAACAGGCCCTTTGAATCCAGTGAGTAGCGGGCTGCGCCAACACGACCACTCACCCGGCTGCCCATGATCTCCTCCTGCACCACCTCGCCGCGCTCCGGCAGCGACTTGGAAATGCCAAAGTCCGCCACCTTCGCCTCCAGCCCTGCTGTCAGCAGGATGTTGGCCGGCTGGCAGGGGACCGAGGGGGGAGGGGGAGTGGGGGGGATGGTGACAGAATCACTTTAAGAGCGAACCAGAGCGGATATGTAAGAAGCGATGGCAAGAATGGTGATTGAAGGCTCACCTTGATGTCGCGGTGGATGATGGCGGGCTTCATCTCGCGGTGCAGGTAGTGCAGCGCGCTCGCTGCATGCAAGGCGATGCGCATCCTCTCCCGCCACGTCAGCATGCGATCCATCTTGCCTGTCACCATGCCAGCGGAGCCAGGAAGTGGCATGGGATGGGGTGACGAGAGGAACGAGATGAAGCATGAGAGAAAGCACGGGATCAAACACAAGGGACATGAGCTATGTCTAAAGAAAATTCTGGGTCCTGCATGGCCTTTAGTGCTCAAGTGTCTCTTCGGGCCACTGCTTGATCACTGCTACATTGGAGCAGTCCTTGAATTGACTGTCGAAGACGAGCAGTACTGGCTCTTAGCTAAACGGTTGCTTCTGGGAAGAACTTACTTGTGAGGAAGCTGTGCAGAATAAAGCTCTCTTGAATCTGATCGCGATGTGGCTGGAAGTTGTCAACATGCACGTCACCAGTCTCCCTAATTTCATAATGACGTCACCTATTAAAACAGTACTGCATCATCACTTCACTGCTCCTATCGCCACCATAGCGCTGTTAAAAATTAGGTGAAGGTGGGCCGTTTACTAAGGCGGCACCAGATCTTGTGTTATGGTGGCTTGGGTTGCCCCAATAAACCGCACACTTTGACCTAATTCAACGAGGCTATAGCGGCAGTAGCAGGGACGTGATGATGTTTTCGTTGTGAATTCTGAAGATGCACAGACCACTGTAACACACGATTTGGTTTTGCTAGGGTCCTGCTTCGAACAGTAAAAGACAGCACATGCGCACGCGCTCACCGCATTGCCATGCCACCGCATTGCCATGCCTCACCGCATTGCCGTGCCTTGCCACATTGCCATGCCTCAACACATTGCCATACCTCACAACAGTGCCAAGAATCATCACCGCACTGCGATACGTCACCCCACCTCCCTCCACGCACTCAAGGAGCAGAGTGCTTCACACGACAGCCTTCAAACCCACCTTTGATCCACGCGTCCAGCGCCCCCCCTTCCATGAACTCGAAGACGAGCAGCTGCTCGTCCTTCTCCACGCAGAAGCCGGTGAGCTTGACGAGGTTGCCGTGCGCCACGGCCGTGAGCATCTCAATCTCGTTCTTGAAGTCCACCCCGCCGTGCCGCCGCCGCTCCGTCGCCTTCTTCACCGCCACCGGTTCGCCGCCCAGCACGCCGTGGTACACCTGGGGGGGATGGGGGGGCAGGAGAGGAGAGGGGGAGAAAAGGGAGAATCAATGCCTCGCTCTCTCCCTTTTGTGCTCACACCAAGGCTCTGCTTGCCATGGCTAAGGAGCCGCGTACCCAACAGATCTTTGCACCGAGTCAACAATGTCTTTCACCCGGACGTATGGAGAGCGTGCTGTGCCACACCCACCGTTCCTCAAACGCACTCCACGCCCTGCCACATCCTCGCCCCCCAGGCGTGCCTTGCCACATCCTCGGCCCCAGGTGTGCCTTGCCACATCCTCGCCCCCAGGCGTGCCTTGCCATATCCTCGCCCCCAGGCGTGCCTTGCCATATCCTCGCCCCCAGGCGTGCCTTGCCACATCCTCGCCCCCAGGTGTGCCTTGCCATATCCTCGGCCCCAGGTGTGCCTTGCTGAACCCGCCCTCCCCCAGTGGTACCTTGCCGTATCCGCCCTCCCCCAGCACGAGCTGGTCGTCGAAGCCGTTGGTGGCGTCCTCGAGCTGCTTGAGCGAGTAGCGCCGCGCGTGCTGGATGTTGATGCCCTCCAGCGCCTCGTAGTCCGCCACGCTCCACCCTGGACGCCATAACCGGGTGGGTGGCAAGGAGCACATGGTTGAAGGGTGAGAGATGGACACGGGAGAGACACGCGAGCGCGCACCAGCCTGATACCGTCGAGGGCCTCGCAGCCCTCGTGGCTCCGCCCTCCAAGGCCCCGTGTTCACGCATCTGCCCAGCTGGCTTGACCACGTCCTCGAGGAGCCACGACCTGGCAGTGCCCTCCCTCGGTTGAGAGCAGATAACAGAGCAGAGGAAAGCGCAGATGAAAGCGCACGTGTGATGAGCTTCAACAAAAGCGCAACCATCCATCGCTCTACGCCTTTCAGTTTCCTGCTAACTGGCAGAACGGCTTGCTAGAGCACAGAGTACTTGTGCTCAATCACCCCCATCTCGCTTATCGCCCCCCCCCTCACCTCGCTTCTCCCAGGGGCGCATGAGCAGCGCCACGATGAGCGCCACGGCCACCGCACTGGAGCACACCGCGATGGCCACGATGGCGCCCGTGCTCACCCCAGACGACGCCTTCTCAGGAGGGGTGTAGGCTGTGAGAGGGTTTGGGAGGGGGAATGAGTGTGAGGAAAAAGCAGATTAAGGAAGAAATGAAGAAGCACGTAGACCATAAAACAAGGGTGGGTGAAAGGGAGTATGAAGCACACACTTGAGTGAGCACGGGTCTCACGCAACCACGATCGGGCCAAAGGGCGTTCCATGGCATCCTTGATGCGTCTAGCGACGGCAGTGGGTTGATGATCGGACGCGCCACACAAGCATCTGCATGGCCTTGATCTTCGGTGCCTTCATTGCTGCGTGTGGGCCACTGCCATGCGATGATCCCACAGATCCTATAAGGGCTCTCAGTTCCGTCCTGGCCGACTGTGGGTGTGCTGTCCCACCAAGTCAACAGACCATTTAACTCTCGTCGGCGAGGGTTTAGGTGTTTTGAACATGGTATCAGAGTGGTCTGAGGATCGACTCCCAATGTGAGCCACTTTGAGCCATCCCATTTGGCTGCCTCCCAGTGCGAATGGGGCCCCTTAGATGACCCCCCAGAGATCCTGGAGGGGCTACAGGGTCCCTCGTGGGCGGATGTGGGTGCTCCGCCCCACCAGTGGAGCATGCCAACTGGGTTGCCAACTGGTGTGTCTGAAATCGGTACAACCCGTCCAGACACCTGCCAGCCCCACCAGCGAGCCCCATGCCCCCCACCCCATCACTCCCACCACCCCCCCCAACCCCCCTCTCTCTCCCCACCCGCCATCCAACTCACGCGCGGGCCCGTAGAAGCCCTCCACGCGGTACGACCCGAATTCTTCGAGGCTGGTGCGCACCCGCTGGTCGCGTGTGCTCAGCGCGCCTCTGATGGCGCGTGGCGTGTCGCTGGGCTGCCACGAGCCGTCGTCCGCGGGAGGGAAGAAGAGCGCCGTGATGACGAGCGTCGACTCGTGCGTCGTGTGGTCCGACGCAAACGTGGACGCCAGCGACGTCAGCGACGAGCGGCTGCTGATGGCCGTCACCTGCACCTGCGCGCGCGTGAGGTTGATGCTGGCCTTGCTGCCCGAGAGCTCGGCAAAGAGGCGGTCCTCCAGCTGCCGCACGAGGGCGCCGTTGAACACAACCAGGTCCGACAGGTAGAGGCCCAGCTCGGCGCGCAGCGGCGACACGCACACGCACGACTGCGACGCGAGGAAGAGCGGCGCGCTGGGGCGGAAGAGGTCGCCGGTGCAGGCGAGTGAGGGGCAGAAGGCGGGCGCCGTGTACTGCGTGAGGGGCGCGGGCGGCGAGCACTGCTGCTGGATCTCCGCGCGGAACGGCTTGCACAGGTCGTTGCCGTACAGCCTGGAAAGGGGGAGTGTGGGGGGGGGGAGTGGGGGGGGGGGCGGGGGGGGTTTAAGAAGGAAGGAAGATTAAGGAATGATATGTTTGGGAAGAAAGATTTGAGACCTTTGGCATCTGCACTAAAGAACATTAATAGACGATGGTAATGGTGATGGTAATGGTGGTGGTGATGGTGATGGTGATGGTGATGGTGATGGTGGTGGTGGTGAAGGTGATGGTGATGGTGGTGATGGTGATGATGATGATGGTGGTGGTGAAGGTGGTGATGGTGATGGTGGTGGTGATGGTGGTGGTGGTGGTGATGGTGATGGTGATGGTGACGGTGGTGGTGAGGGTGGTGGTGGTGGTGATGGTGATGGTGATGGTGATGGTGGTGGTGATGGTGATGGTGATGGTGGTGGTGATGGTGATGGTGATGGTGGTGGTGGTGGTGATGGTGATGGTGATGGTGATGGTGATGGTGATGGTGATGGTGATAGTGATGGTGATAGTGGTGGCGGTGATAGTGGTGGTGATAGTGGTGGCGGTGATAGTGGTGGTGATAGTGGTGGCGGTGATAATGGTGGTGATAGTGGTGGCGGTGATAGTGGCTATAGTGCACCTGGTATTTCATGGACGAAAACTCCCTCCTCTATTGTCACACAGTTACTCACGCCCCCTCGGTTCACCGCCCCACACCCACTGCCCCTGCACTCACTGCAGCGTGACGTTGGGCCTCAGCAGCAGAGCGGGCGGCACGAGGGAGAAGTCGTTGTCGTACAGCGAGAGCGCGATGATGGCGGGCAGCACCGACATGTCGGGCAGCGGGCCCACCAGCTGGTTGTCCGCTAGGAACCTGGCGCGAGGGGAGGGCGCAGGGGAGGGCAGGGGTGAGAGTCTTGGAGGGGGATTAAGGAGTGGAGAGAGGGGGGGGGGGGGGGGGGTTGTGGACACTGGGAGTAGCGTGTGAGTGGTGGGAGGCAGAGGCGCAAGAGGTAAGGGGGGCGGCAGGGAATGCAGCAGTGGCGGCTCACAGGGATTGCAACTTGGAGGCGGTGGTGATCGCCTGAGGAAGGCCGGCGCTGAGAGAGTTGTTGGCCAGGTTGCTGGGGCGAGGGGGGAGGGAGACATGAGAGAGTTGAGAGACATGAGAGTTGAGAGACATGAGAGAGTTGAGAGACATGAGTTGAGAGACATGGGTTGAGAGAGTAGAGAGAGTTGTGGGGCAAAAAGCTTGAGTGAGGGGGGGGAGGGTGATGAGGCGCTCACAGGGTGATGAGGCGCTCACAGGGTGATGAGGCGCTCACAGGGTGATGAGGCGCTCACAGGGTGATGAGGCGCTCACAGGTTGATGAGGCGCTCACAGGGTGATGAGGCGCTCACAGGGTGATGAGGCGCTCACAGGGTGATGAGGCGCTCACAGGTTGATGAGGTGGGGGTTCTGGTGGAAGAGCGTGGCGGGAATGGCGTCGGAGAATTTGTTGCTGCTCAAGTCCCTGCGAGGGGGCCGTGAATGGGGCCAGGGGCAGGGACGGGGAGATGTTTAGAAAAGCAGAAACGGAAGCACGAATTGCAATTTGGTCGGTCATAGGAAAGAGTGCGCGATGGGGAGGAGAAGGAATGAGAGGCGCTTGCGCGTGCAGGATTGGCAGCGGTGGAGCGTGCAGTGAACGCTGGCAGGGCAGTGGGTGGTGCAGCAACAGAGAGAGATGAAAGAACGGTAGAGGGGTACAAAAGGGAAAGAGCGCGGAGAAGAGACGCAGCAGACACGTGGATGACGCAGTGGGGGAGAGACACAGTGCACAGGTGGGAGGGGAGGAGAGAGTGTGCGGTTGGTTGGTGGGACGAGTCTCCTTGGAGGCCTTTGGACTCACAGATTGGAGAGATTAGCGGAGAGCGGAAAGGATGGCAGTGGCTGGGATGGTAACGAGCAGTTGCTGGCAAGGCTGGGTGAAAACGAAGAGACGCATGCACACACGCACACACACACATAAACACACAAATGCACACACAGGCGTGTGCACAGAGTTGGTAAAAGCACGCTCGAGAAACTATACACTTCTTGAATCAATTCTCAAGCCTTTTCATCGATTGAGATCATGCTCCTCTGTCGAATCGACTCAACTCTAACTCGAAAACAACATCGCTGTGCCGGGCGTAATTAATTGCAGTAGCAACAACAACGGAGGCAGCTTCACGAGCATGGCAACAAGCAGTAAAGCAGCAATTAGGAGTGCCAACGGCAACAGCAGCGTTGTAGGCAACAACATCACATGTAACGGTGGATGGGAATGACAATGGGCCTGCTGTGGATCCTCAAGGATTCCGTCCGCACGTGGTGAACCGCGACATGGTTCACCTGCTCGTGGTATGGAGTGGTTTGGCAAGGCATAAACATATGATGCAACATACGCCGCCGTGCTAGCCCACTCCAAACCACGAGCAGGTGAACCGTGCCATTGCAAAGCACGTGCTAACAGAAGCCTGGAGGTCCGCAGCAGACCCATCTTCATTCCGACCCGTCACTACATGTGATTCTGCTGCCTGTGCCTTGTTGACGCCAACAACGCTGCTGCTGCCTTTGACGCTGCTAATCCCTGCTTCACTGCTCGCTGCCATGCTTTTGAAGCTGTTCGCACGCCTGTTCTTGCTGCATTTAATGTTGTTCCCGCGGCTTCAACACAACACCACAGTGCCTTACCATCATAACAGAATGGAAGCAGAGGGGATTGAATCACTTAGAAGCAGAGCTAACCAGCAGCAAAATCAGAAAAGGCCACGAAATCAGGTAGAGGAAAAATAGTGGAGCTGAGACACAAAGGGGCAGGCAGAGACACAAAGAGGCAGGTAGGGGCACGAAGATGCAGGTAGGGGCACGAAGATGCAGGTAGGGGCACGAAGATGCAGGTAGGGGCACGAATAGGCAGCTGATCTAGAGGCAGGTGGAGCGAGGTGTAGTTGTTGGTGGGGGGAGGGCGGAGGCGAGGAGACTGACAAGTCCTTGAGCTTGGGGAGGAACCATGGCGAGGGCAGGCTGGGCAGCACGTTGTGGCTCCAGTAGCTGGCAGGCGGGGAGGGGGAGGGGGGAGGGGCGGGGAGGGTACAAGGGGCAGTGAGTGGATTCGCTTACAAGGAAGCACGAGGCATTGGTTGCAGCACGAGGCATGGCTTGAAGCCTGGGGCATGGCTCTCTGGCTGGGAGCGGGCTAGAGCTGGGTGCACTACTAAGTGCTGATGCTTAGTGGAACTGGCAGTAGTGGAATGCGCATTGGAGGGAGCCAACACATAGAAGAGCTAACAGGGAGCGGAGCGGACACTCAGTGAAACTGACGATTAGTAGAGCTGACACTTACTGGAACAGCCACTTAGTGGAACTGACGCTTATTGGAACTGACACTCAGTGGAGCTTGCTCCCACTCACATGACAGTGAGGTTGGTGTTGTTGAAAGCGAGTGGTATGTTGTGGGTGAGGCGGTTGCTGTCCACCAGCCTGGCACATGGCACACATGGCACATGGCACATGGGGGCATAGCACATGGGGCACGGACATGGCACATGGGGCATGGCAAATGGACGGTAGAGAGCGTCCGGCTGAATGTGATACGTCGTGCACGTGCAGCACTGATGACCGCATGGCACATGAGATTCTTCTGGGTTCAGCCTGATTCGCTGTAGCCGCTGCGCAAATGGACATCAACTCATGCCATCAACCGCGTGCCCTGGACGCCATCAGTGCCCTGGACGCCATCAGTGCCCTGGACGCCATCAGTGCCCTGGACGCCATCAGTGCCCTGGACGCCATCAGTGCCCTGGACGCCATCAGTGCCCTGGACGCCATCAGTGCCCTGGACGCCATCAGTGCCCTGGACGCCATCAGTGCCCTGGACGCCATCAGTGCCCTGGACGCCATCAGTGCCCTGGACGCCATCAGTGCTCTGGACGCCATCAGTGTCTCCGACTAGCCTGCCTACTGACGCCGCGCTCACTGCACGCTATCAGTGGCGTGGCAGCTGGACGCAGCGCGCATGGGAGGTGATTGGCGCGACTGGCTGCTTCCAGCCTGGAACACGTGGCTCACAGGTGCTCGAGCATGACTCACAGGTGCTCGAGCATGACTCACAGGTGCTCGAGCATGACTCACAGGTGCTCGAGCTTCGGGAGCTGGCTGATGTACGCCGGCACCGCCGTCAGCAGGTTGCGACTCATGTGGCTGGGGGGGTAGCGACGGGCAGCGAGGCAGAGAGGGGCAGAGACGCAGAGAGGGGCAGAGAGGCAGAGAGGGGCAGCAAAGGAGAGGGGAGGAGAGGGGCAGGGAGGGGCAAATGAAGGGCAAATTGAGGGCAAATTGAGGGGAATTGAAGGAAGGTTCCCATGGCAGCAGGTGCACACTGACTCACAGGTGCACACTGACTCACAGGTGCACACTGACTCACAGGTGCACACTGACTCACAGGTGCACACTGACTCACAGGTGCACGAGCTCGCTGGCCCCAGGGAACGGGGGCACGGTGCCGTGGAGGCGGTTGTCGATGACGTCCAACATGTACAGCTGCGGCAGCCACCCCAGCTGCGCGGGGATGGACCCCGACAGCTGGTTCTGGTTGGCCAGGAAGAACCGCAGGCCCGTCAGCCGCCCCACCGTGGACGGGATGGACCCCGTCAGACTGCACCCGTGCACGTCGCTGGGGGGGAGGGGTGGGCAGGGGGTGGGCGCATGGAGAGGATGAGAGGCCGCCGCGGCTCCCCAGGCGTGCTGCTGCGGACAGGAGAGAGCCGCCAGACTGCACTGGTGCGGGGGGGAGGGGAGGGGAGCGAACAGGGACGGCGGGCAAAACCTGGAAATGGGGTTTCATGCCAAGGCAGGATGCGCGCACTTAGGGTTGAGGACGTGTGCGCACAGCAGTAAGGGCAGCACGTGTGCGCACAGCAGTAAGGGCAGCACGTGTGCGCACAGCAGTAAGGGCAGCGCGTGTGCGCACAGCAAGGGCGGCAGCGGTGGCTTACAGCAGAGTGAGCCTGGCGAGGTTACCAAGGGTGTTGGGGATGCTGCCCGTGAGCTTCGGGTTGAGCGCTAGATTGCTGTGGGGAGGAGGGTGGAAAGAGGGGTGGGGTGATGAGACGAGGGGCTGGGGGAGGAGGAAGAGGGGCGATAGGGAAAGGGAGGGGGGACAGGAGATGATGGAGCGGGAACTGGGCTTGGGATAGGGGCAAGGGGGGTTGGGGCGGGGATAGGGGGCTGAGGAAAGGAAAGAGAGCGGGCACGAAGGAAATGGGAGAGAGGAAAGGGGAGCAGCAAGACGAGTGGCGCGGGGGAGGCGACGCACAGCGAGCGCAGCGACGTGATGCCGAACAGGGCAGCGGGCAGGTCGCCCGTGAGGCGCGCGTCCTGCAGGTCGCTGGAGGGAGGAGATGGGGAGGGGAGGTCACATGGGGAAGAGGGGTAAGAGTATAATGGAGCAACGCGCAGAGGCTTTCACGAATGCGTTGGCGAGGCAGAAGAATGGCAGCAAAGCCCCTAGTGGGAGAAGAAAACCTCCGCCCTTTCACTCCATGAGTCTCCTCTCCCCACCTCCAGGTTCTCCCCTTCCACGTGTGCCGCCCCTGATTCGCTCGTCAACTTCGGGCAATATCAGAGAACCAATTTCACTTAACCCGCGCTTAACCCGCCCAGCCCCACCCCCCTCGCCGCACTCACATCTAGGCCACCGCATTGAACGGACTCACATCTCAGCCACCGCATTGAACGGGTTGCCCGCGTCGCACCGCACCCCCGGCCACGCGCTCTGCGCGTCCGGGCCGCACGGATCGTCGCCCGCCCACGCGTTGAACGGCGGCTCGTCTGGCCGTCCCACCGCGCCCGCCACCTGCCGCAGGACCGCCACTGCAGCAGCCGGGGGAGGGGCGGAGGGGGGGAGAGGGGCGCGCGAAGAGGAAGAGGGGCGGGGAAGAAGGGGAAGGGGGGAACACGCGATCTATGCGGTAGGAGTGGCGTGGGCTATCACTCGCGCGCTGCTGCGACGCATGAATCGGCGGCTGGTGCGGGTGCTCCTGCTGGGAAATAGGCGATGCAGCGGAAAATACGGGAGGCGGAAGGGGTTGTTTGGTGGTGGGACCGACTCGGAAGGAGTGCCTTTTGGGAGATCGACTAGGCGAGCTGGGGGTTACGGAAGCCCGAGCCACCTCCACGGTGCGCGCGTCTGTTCGTGTGTGCGTGGGCGCGTGGGCGGCCACGAGATTCGAGACGGCGGACGAATCGGCGCAGACGGCTGACTTTGGTGGGTGAGCGGCAGACGTGGTGGGTGGGGCCGGCAGACGTTAGCGCTCTTACAAGGGCGAGAGGACCGTCTCGTGCACGTGACCTGTGTGACTGGTCGACGCCGACAAGGAATGCGACGAGGGAGCTGCGATCGGGGGGAAAAGCACCGCAGGCCGCAAGCGGCTCAAAGGCGAGGAGGGAGCGAGGAGGGAGCGAGGAGGCTTACCGTGAGCTGGATCCGTAGCAGAGAGAACGAATCTTGGATGCAGGCCGATCAGCGCGAGGGATACTAGTAGCGATGAAATTCGCACGGCGAAACTATTATTATCCGACCCACGACCCATTTCGTGTCCTTTAGCTGTGTCGCAGCGAGTCTAGCCGCGTAAAAGGGACAGCGAAGAGCGAAAAAAAGCCTATCGTACCACTTGAAACTCTGAATTCGATCGCGAGCCTGACTAATGCTGTATTGGAGCTGCTGTTCAAGAACTGACAGAGCGAGCGGCCACTACTATGCTGGCACAAACCTCCGCAGCCAGCTGCGGCGTTTCAATCGCACCGCTGGTAAGACGGCAAACGCGCTGCAGTGTCACGCAGAATATCAATGAAGATAGACGCCTGTCAGCTCCCAGGTGATGCAAGCCAAGAAGCACGGCAGAGGTGGCCTCCACTTGGAGATGTCACCTAGGTCTGAGCAATCGACCATGGCGTCAAGCTCACTCGCATCAACGACCTCTTGATGCCCAATCCAACCAACTGAATGCACTCATCTCCATCCATCCTCGCCTCTCCCGTGCCTCCTGCTTCCTGAATGGACGCCAAAATTATTGTCGGCGACATCGAGTGGACACCTCGAGAGCTCCGCGTCGGCCGTCCCTCCCTCGCGCCGCGTCGTTAGGGTGTGGCGAAACCTCGCACGCGAAGACAGTCTACTTTGGCGCAGGCGATCAGCATAGTCTTTTAAAGCTACGGGGTTACCAGTGGATTCCGTGTCGTGGACGTGAAGAAATCCATGGCGGTCCAATAATCGTAGGGGCAAACCGCCTATGCGCGGAGGTGGTTGGATTCAACACCTAGAATACTGACTGCCTTTGTGCTGAAATGAATCTACACCTTCATTAGCATCTTGCTCAGCGTATCATACATTAGATTTCTCCACACACTTAGTGCCATAAAAGCCTGCTATTAGGTAAAATAAATGATAAAATCCGGAAAATTAGGTGATCATTAAGAATACAAATACTAAAATCTAACTGCCTAAGTTGGAAAGGATTATTTTCAATAGTTTCCGCCTGTATACTTTAGAGCAACATTCACTTAACACTCCGACATGTGTATAGACTTGGTGACATATCACCAATCGCACAAGCAGCTCCTGACGCGTACGAGGCCTGCAGCGTGCCACCCTTGTTCAACTGGCCTCACCGCCATCCGACACAACCTGCCATGCCATGGCTAGCAGCGAGGCAGCGCGGGATGCGGCGAGGCGCGGAGGCGGTGGGGTAGGGATGGACGGCGAGGTGGCTGCGGGTCTCGTGATCGCGCACCCCGACGACGAGTCCATGTGCGTCCCGCGCTCCTCACTCACCCTCTTTCTCAGCCACCTCGAAAATAGTCCTCGTGCGTGCGCTCTCCCTCTGCTCGTCGCTCCGAGCGTCGAGTCGTCGTCGCGCCACGTTGCTGCACGTCAGTCTCGCGCGCAGCAGCAACCGAGTTCCCTGCCCGCCGCCACTATCGGCGCTCCGACCCCCACTGCCGTGCGCAGCTGCTCTCGCCACCTGCCCGTCGCCTCTCGCCATCTGCCCGTCGCCTCTCGCCATCTGCCCGTTGCCTCTCGCCATCTGCCCGTCGCCTCTCGCCATCTGCCCGTCGCCTCTCGCCATCTGCCCGTCGCCTATCGCCATCTGCCCGTCGCCTCTCGCCATCTGCCCGTCGCCTCTCCCCGCCCTCCCTCGCTCCTCGCGCGTCCATCCCTCAGGAGGCCCCTTCCCGCCGCCACCCCTCCGTCCTCTCGGTCCGCCTTCTCACTTCCCGCTGCTTCCTGCCTCCCCCACCCCCCCCCCGCCGCTCTCCCCCTCCCCCGCCGCCGTCCCCCCCACGCGCCAGGTTCTTCGTACCCACGCTGCGCGCGCTCGTCGCTCGCCCCTCCGCCGTACGGCGATTCATCACGTCCGCGCCACAAGCTGACTCGATGGAAGAAGGCGCAGCCTGCTCTGTGCACATCCTCTGCCTCTCCTCAGGTGCCCTCCTCAGGTGCCCTTCTCAGGTGCTCCGCACTTCACTCGCTTCCTCGCACTGCCTTCGAGGCGCCCCACTGCCCTTCCTCTCATCGTCTACCCCCAGCACTCCCCCCCCCCCCCCCCCCCCTCTCCCCTCCCTCCCCACCCATTCCGCCTTCCTTCCGCTTCTACCCTGTCAGATTTCCGTGCCTGTTCCTCCTCCTCCCCTCTCTCGTTCTCCCTGCACCAACACATCCTGCCTCTCACCCCTCTCGCCCCTCTCACCCCTCTCGCCCCTCTCACCCCTCTCGCCCCTCTCACCCCTCTCACCCCTCTCGCCACCTCACCCCCTCCACCCCTCTCGCCCCTCTCACTGCATCGCTGCAGGCAACGCGGAGGGGCTGGGCGCCACTCGGACGGACGAGCTCAGAGCGGCAGCCACAACCCTCGGGGTACGATGATGGGCGCTGGTAGGGGGGGTGGAATGGTGGGCGCTGGTAGGGGGGGTGGAATGATGGGCGCTGGTAGGGTCACACCGCCCACCCGCCCCCCTTGTCCTGACTCTCTCTTTCTCCCCCTCACACCGCTCACCTTTCCCCTCACACCGCCGACCCCCCCTATTTTCCCGTCACACCTCGCTCATCCCTCTTGTCCTCCCCCCACACCACCCACCCCCCTTCTGCTCCCCCCACACCACCCACCCCCCTTCTCCCTCCTCACACTGCCCGCCCCCTTTCTCCTCCCCTGACACCGCCCCCCTTCTCCTCCCCTCACACCGCCCCCCTTCTCCTCCCCTCACACCGCCCCCCTTCTCCTCCTCTCACACCGCCCCCCTTCTCCTCCCCTCACACTGCCCCCCTTCTCCTCCCCTCACTCCGCCCCCCTTTCTTCCCCCTGCACGCCGTCCCCCTTCTCCCGCTCCTCAGATCGCTCAGAGCTGCGTTGACGTGGTCGACCACCCACAGCTGCAGGTGCGTGCGGTGCAGTGCGGTTGAGGTGGTGCAGTGCAGTGCAGTGTGGCTAGTATGATGGAGCTGAAGGTAACAATGCATGAGACTGCTTTGAAGATTCGAGGGAGTGGTAAAGAAGCGTGGGGGGTGGAGGAGAGGCAAGAGTGGAGGGCCGTGGCAAGTGAGGTCGGATGGGGGATGCCCTCTAGCGCCCACTTGCCCGCACAGCCATCCCCAATGCTCCTTATCCTACCCCTGCTTGCCGCGCTCTCTCATACCGCTGGTCTGCAGGATGGCATGGATCAATCGTGGCCGTCGGATGTCATTGCTGGCTTGGTCTCTGACTTTGTGAAGAGGCATCAAATCAAGATGGTGGGATGGCAGGGATGTGTGGAGAGGGATGGGGGGAGGGAGAGGGATGGAGGGGGATGAGAGGGGAGGGATGAGAGGGGAGGGATGAGAGGAGGCGGATGAGAGGAGGCGGATGAGAGGAGGCGGATGAGAGGAGGCGGATGAGAGGAGGCGGATGAGAGGAGGCGGATGAGAGGAGGCGGATGAGAGGAGGCGGATGAGAGGAGGCGGATGAGAGGGGAGGGATGGGATGGGAGGGTTAAGATGAGAGGGCGACATTGTGAGTTGATGTCACACTGGGTCACAGCTGCTGTTTCTGTGTGCACCGGCCAGATGCCATGCGCCATCACATGCCATACGCCATCACATGCCATGCGCCATCACATGCCATGCACCATCTCCTGCCATGCGCCATCACATGCCATGCGCCATCACATGCCATGCGCCATCACATGCCATGCGCCATCGCATGCCATGCGCCATTGCATGCCATGCGCCATCGCATGCCGTGCCATGCCATGAGTCATCACATGCCATGTGTTGCACATGCTATGCGCCATCACGTGCCATGCCATGCGGCATCACATGCCATGCACCATCACCTGCCGTGCGCCATCGCATGCCATGCACCATCACATGCCATGTGCCATCACATGCCATGCTATGCGCCATCACATGCCATGCACCATCATGTGCCATGCACCATCACATGCCATGCCATGCGCCATCGCATGCCATGCACCATCACATGCCATGCGTCATCACATGCCATGCCATGCGCCATCACATTCCATGCACCATCATATGCCATGCTATGCACCATCACATGCCATGCTATGGGCCATCACATGCCATGCCATGCGCCATCACATGCCATGTCATCCGCCATCATCACATGCCATGCACCCTGCCGTCCTCCCCCCTTTCTCCCGACTCCCCTTGCACCCCCATCAGCTGCTCACCTTTGACGACTGGGGTGTGTCGGGCCATCCCAACCACAGAGCCATCAGCCACGCTCTCAGGTGTGCTTTCAGGCGTGCTCTCAGGTGTGCTTTTATGTGGGTGGGCTATCAGGTGCTCTCTGGTCGGCCTTTCTTTTGGTTATGTGCCTCGCTCTAGCACTCCACCTCCCCCCTTTAAACATACTCACAATGCCTAGGCTCCGCCTCATTGCTACCCGAGAGATGCTCGGTCAAGCCTTGGTTCAGGTTCCACTCTCCTGTAACACATTGTGGCGAAAACGGTGAGTCCCGAATCCCAAATGCCACGCGATGAGTGCATGGGGGAGGACGGGCTATGCGGCATGGGCTTGCAGGCATTGGGGTGGAGGGCAGGGGAGTGATTGTGGGGAAAGCATTCGATGTCCTGGAAATCACAAGGAGTTTTGAGGGCTGGCACAAGAACCACCCTGTGAATATGAGGATTGTGCCAAAGCACCTATATTGATATTTGAATCTTGATAAATGCTCGGATACCTAGCCCCTGCTGTAGCAGGCATGCTCCCTGGCAGTCCTTCCCAGCGCGCCAACCTTCACCCCGCTCTTGCTCCTCATTCTTCGCCTTGTGCTTCTCCCCACCGCCAGAGGCATGGTCCAGGACGGGTCTCTGACCATTCCACTGTGGACCCTGGTAAGTGGGTGGGGCCTGCCGTGCTGTATTCACCATGCGCACGCCATGTGCATTGTGCTCCATTCACCGTGCTTCACTGCATGCTTGTATCGCCCGTCACCCACACCCGTAGCCATAAGCGTTAGGATGAGCAGCAGCGAAGACGAAAAACTTGAGCGAAAGAGTGACAGTAGGTAAAGTGATACCCCTGTTTAAAACGCAAGGATTCGAAGTTCCGAACTCAACACCACTAGAAGATTAAGACGCTAACTAGTTTCGGCTGACTGGGACAGGTTCCAAATCAGACCTTCATCAGTGCTTGTGGAATTATAAAAGTGAGTTTACAAGCGAGCTCTTAAGCAGAAACTGCACTACGAGAACATCAACTTCAAGGTTGGAACAACCGTGGCCAAAATCTGGTCAGCCAATCCAAAACACCCTGGAAAAGTCCAAGGTGCGAGGTCTTCATTCCTGGGGAAGTGTGGTGGGTAATCCACATCTCGAGCACTTGTCACGCTTCATGCCCGCACTGCAACCCTCGCCCCACTCCCACCCTCCTCTCCCGACTCCCACCCCACTCTCCCCACACCCATCCTCCTCTCCACGCCCACCCATCTCTTCCCCCCCATGCATCCTCTTCTCTCGCCATGCCCGCCCCCCCACCAGGAAAGTGCGTTGCTGCACATCAAGTTCCTGGGGCTCCTGGGGGTCCTCGCCATGTGGCTGCATGCCCTCCTCACACGTCAGCTTAGCTGGGCAGGCAACAGGATATGTTTCATCTGCCCGAGCATGCTACCAAGTGTTCGTGCGATGTGTGCCCATCGATCCCAGTTCGTTTGGTGAGTGAGAGATTGCTTCTGAAGGCCTGCCGCGCTCATTCCAGCTGCAACCGCATGTGCCGCTCTCTGCCATCACTCTTGTGTCCTGCCAGGTCACTCCATTGTCCTGCGAGGTCACTCCATTGTCCTGCCAGGTCACTCCATTGTCCTGCCAGGTCACTCCATTGTCCTGCGAGGTCACTCCATTGTCCTGCGAGGTCACTCCATTGTCCTGCGAGGTCACTCCATTGTCCTGCGAGGTCACTCCATTGTCCTGCGAGGTCACTCCATTGTCCAGCCAGGTCACTCCATTGTCCTGCCAGGTCACTCCATTGTCCTGCCAGGTCACTCCATTGTCCTGCCAGGTCACTCCATTGTCCTGCCAGGTCACTCCATTGTCCTGCCAGGTCACTCCATTGTCCTGCCAGGTCACTCCATTGTCCTGCCAGGTCACTCCATTGTCCTGCCAGGTCACTCCATTGTCCTGCCAGGTCACTCCATTGTCCTGCCAGGTCACTCCATTGTCCTGCCAGGTCACTCCATTGTCCTGCCAGGTCACTCCATTGTCCTGCCAGGTCACTCCATTGTCCTCCCCAATCCGCGGCACAGTCACTCACTTCAGCTCGTCATCGCCCGCATCCCCCCCCCCCCAAACACCCTCTTCTCCCGATGGCAGGTTCCGGTGGCTGTTCGTGCTGTTCTCGGTCTACACATTCATCAACACACTCACGCGCGTTGCTCCTCACTCTGCATCGCCAGGGAATAAGAAATCTCAGTAGGACCCATAGGCTGCTCCACATCCTGCACACGCGGGGTAGTGCAGTGCACACCAACACGAGTGGTGCTCTAGCTGCCATTGAATGTGACGCATTCATGGTTGAATTGTTTGTATCTCAAGCTGTAGGTATGTGCTTTTGAAATGGAGTACTTGGATGTCTCCAATCCAATGGTGTCAGTCAGACCTGTGCAGTGCTGTGCAAGTGCAATGCAATTGAATTATCACATGCTTCGAGGGTTTCAGATAGCAGACGAAATCCGTCTGATGGTATGAGAATCAGACCCGTTTTTGGCTGTTCGCCTGATTTTTGGACGGGGTAAAATATTTCGTCTGAATGTCCATACTTGTTATAAAATTTCGTCTGAATTTAGACTTCAGTCTAGTGGTTCATCTGAGATTTCAGATAGCGAGGATATTCTCTTCTGACAGCGACAATTCCTCCCACCAAACCCATTGACCCACAGGTCCAGGTTGGTAATTTATGTCATCAAATATATTTATATAGATTAGCTAGGTCATGTTGTATTTGTTTTTAGCCCAGCTAGTTCAGTTTTTAGCGAGTACAGCCCTAGTTTTGCATCCCTCGACATTTTCCCTTAGTCACCACTTTCCCCCGCTACTCTAACATGGTATTGAGCTAGGTTAGTTTTTTTTTTTTTTTTTTTTTTTTTTTTTTTTCCCTTTTTTTTTCTGCCGTTCCTCACGCTTCCGCCGTTACTCACGCTTCCGCCGCTACTGTAGCTTCTTTTTTTGCGCATGTGACACTCTTTCCATTTCTGGCACCCCCCTGCCCTCCAATTTCGCGCTTCGTAGCCTCGAGCCCCCCCCCCTCCCCCCTCCCCCCCCCCTAGCGTTCGATTTCTTCGTGCGGTAGTCAGCAGGCCAGCACACCAGCCCGCATGCTAGCGAGCTCGCCAACCAACGCTCCAGCTAGCTAGCCAGCCCATTAGCCAGCTCACTAGCTAGCCCGCACCCGCCAGCACCTTAGTTCGTAGCCGTCCCACCTCGCGCCAGCCCGTTTGCTCGCCTGCTCGCCAGCCTGCACGCTCGCCTGCTCGCCCGCCCTTCTCGCTTGCTCGCCTGCCTGCCAGCCCGCCTGCTCTCCAGCCCGCCTACTCGCCAGATCACATGCTCGCCTGCTCGCCAGCTCGCCTGCTCACCTACTCGCCAGCCCGCCAACCCGCCTGCTCGCCAGCCCGCCTGCTTGCCAGCCCGCCAGCCCACCTGCTCGACAGCTCGCACCCTCGCCTGCTCACCAGCCCGCCTGCTCGCCTGCTTGCCAGCCCGCCAGCCCGCCTGCTCGCCAGCTCGCACGCTCGCCAGCTCGCACGCTCGCCAGCTCGCACGCTCGCCAGCTCGCACGCTCGCCAGCTTGCACGCTCGCCTGCTCGCTTGCTCGCCCGCCCACCAGCCCGCCTGCTCGCCAACCCACCTGCGCGCCTGCTCGCCAGCTCGCCTGCCCGCCTGCTTGACTGCTCACCAGCCTGCCTGCTCGCCTGCATGCTAGCAGCCCCAGCAGCCAGCGCTAGCAGCTAGCAGCCAGCTCACTGGCTCACCAGCGCCACCAGCGCAAGCAGCCAGTGCCAGCAGCCAGCACCAGCTAGCTCGCTAGTGCGAGCCAATGCCAACAGCCAGCAGTGCCAGCAGCCAGCGCCAGCAGCCAGCACCAGTAGCCAGCAGCCAGCAGCGCCAGCAGCCAGCAGCGCCAGCAGCCAGCAGTGTCAGCAGCCAGTGCCAGCAGCCAGTAGCCAGCAGCGCCAGCAGCCAGTGTCAGCAGCCAGCACCCAGCTTGCTGACTCACCAGCGCCACCAGCGCCAGCAATCAGCAGCCAGCGCCAGCCGCTAGCCGCCAACAGCACACTGCCAGCAGCCAGCAGCCCACTGCCAGCAGCCAGCAGCCAGCGCCGGCTGATGCCACCCACTGCCACTACCGCAGCTACTACTGCCCGCTGCCGCCCCGCTGCTGCCTACTGCCGCCCACTGTCGATGCAGCCGCCGCTACCGCTGCCACTGCTGCAGCCACTGCAGCCGCTGCCGCCGCTGCCGCTACAGCCGCCTCTGCCTCTGCAGCCGCCGCTGCTACTCCTGTCGCCACTACTGTTGCCCACTGTCAGCTTCAGCCTCCAGCAGCTGGCCACCTGCCGCCAGCACCAGTCACCAGCCGCCAGCAGCCGACCGCTAACCCTCAGCCGTCAGCTGCCAGCTGCCACCACTCGCGGCCGGCCGCTGACCACCAGCCGCCAGCGGCAGCCGGCCGCCATCCGCCAATCGCCAGTCAGCCGTCTGCCACATGAGTCCCCCGTGCTGTGTGGACTGTCCTGTGCCGCCAGTCCTAGTGCCTCCTAGCTAGCTCCTTGGCGTACTGCTCCTAGTAGATCCTCTCATGCGTACTTCCTCCTTGTTTGCTCTCCCACTCCTCCTAGTAGCTCCTAGCCTACCGCCAGCCGCCAGCTAGCCGCTACTGTCGTCGTACTATCACTAGCCGCTGCTGCTACTAGCCTCGTGCTCGCTGCCACTGCTCCGGCCACAGTCGCCACTGCTACTACCTTCAGTTGTACTCCTCTAGCACCTATACCTCCCACAAGTCTTGTCCTCGTTTCTAGAATTCCTCGACACCTCTCCTCGAGGCATGATGGCTTCGTTCGGATCAGTCCCTCGGCCAGTCCACCGGGCACTTCCCTCCGCTCTCCGATTTCTCGCCCACCGTCTACACCTGGTGAGCTCGCATGTAGACTGCACCCTCCTAGAGGAACACATTAGTTACCTCCTAGGCTTATGGCTCCACGACCTCGACGTCTGCTTCCGGGCTCTTAGGCCAGTGCCGCAACCGTAGCAGCAGCAGCAGCAGCAGCAGCGGCACGAGCAGCAAAAGCAGCAGCGGCAGTAGCAGCAGCAGCAGCAGCCGCAGTGGGGTCTTGTGGGTGCCGAGCGAGGTGGAGGCTCTGGAGGTGCTGCCCCGGGGCGGTCACTGCCCTGGAGCCAGTATGGTTTCTTTGGAGGACCGGTGTCCTTGGGGCCTAGGGGTCTAGGTCCCACCACTGTGTCTAATCTAGGAGCCTCTACTACATGTCCCTTAGGCTCCTCCCCTGCCCCTCCTTCGGCGGCCCTCTCTTTTGTCCTTGACTCGGGCGCGTCTCATTGTTTCTTTAGGGACAGCACTGCTCTCACCCTGCTTCCGCGCCCGTCCGCTGTTAGAATTAAGGACGGAGTCTAGGTGAACTTAGGAGCTAGAATGTCTCAAAATATATATCCGAAATTCTGGACAGAAAAGTCGTCTCCACAAGAAACGTCGTCGACAAAAAAAAGCCGTTGGAATGTCGCGAAACTCGAATATGTCATAGCTCTGAATCTTAGCTACCGTTCCCAATTTGAAACACATTGATTTCTGGAGTATTCGCGAGGCTATGTCTTTCGACGCACAGGGGGGTATGCTGTAGGAGAAGAGTCTAACTCAATCTCAAACTTCAATCAAGGTTCAATCATCTCACAAGGAATAAGAGGAGCAAGAGAAAGGTTGGAAGGGAAGAGAGGGATGAGAGGGAAGGTCACAAGAGAGTTCCCAACCAAGGAAACCCCATAAGCACAAAGATTCCCTCCCTATAGGAACCCCAAGTTTGACCTTTGTCCCTTCCCAACCAATACAACCAAGTTGGCCACACTTGCCAGCCTAGCTTGGTTGTTCCCAACCAATTTGCAGCTGCTACAGTAGAGTGACGAATTTTTCCAACCCCTAATGGTCCAAACTCCATATATAGTCACCCCACAACTTCACTTTGTAACCGCCGCAATTGTAATGCAAGCTCATGAACTTTGAATCTTCATAGCTTTCGCGTTCTTGCTCCAATTGAAGCAATTCTTGTTGCGTCGGAAAGATCTTCTCAAGATCTATCATCACAAATATCTGCTAAAACAAAAATAACACAGAACACATTCCCAAACTCCAGAATACACCACACACAAATTCTTTCACACACAGTCAAACCATACATGCGAATTGAAACAAGGGATGGGAGGCAGACAGAATGTGATGGCATATGATAACATCACACAACAATCTTCCCCTCTGGATGCCAACCATCATGCACCATACCAACATCTCAAGCATGCAAACTCAATGCACACTCATCCCAGCAAGCTTCATGCCCTTCCAATGATCTGCCTCCGCCAGACGCTTAGTGAAGATTTATGCTGCCTGATGATGGGTCTTCACTATCTCCAGCCACACCTCCTTATCAAGGAGTCTCCTCACCCAATGCCACTTAGGCCTTATGTGTTTTGTCAGCCCATGCAGACAAACATTCTTGGCCAGCTTCACTGCAGACTCATTGTCACAGAACACAACTGTCGGCTCCTCCTGACCAACTCCCAACTCCTCCAACAAACGCCTCAGCCACACCACTTCCTTGGCCCCATGGTGTAAGGCCATGTACTCAGTCTCACATGAGGACAATCCCACCTCATTTTGCTTCTTTCTGCGCCAGCTCACAGCACCACCTCCCAACAAGCACACATAACCCCCAATACTGGTGCCATCCGCTTTCACTGAGTTGAAGCTAGCGTCAGTATCTTGGGCTGAGGAATTACAGCCCTATAGCACAATGCAATCTAATCTTCCTCAATCTGCTCAACCACACTCCCAGCCTGCACCACATTCGGCTTGCCTCTTCCCCCATGGGTCAGCCTCACCGGAGGGCGCACATCCCTCCTAGGTCACTCAAACGGGTGTGGAACTCGAGGTGGAGACTCATGCTGCTTCTGCTGCTGCTCCACCTCAGCTGCTCCCCCTTCCTCAGTCACCCCAGACATCTCCTCCTCAGACACTGCAACCTCGACCTGTCTTGAACACCGCTGCACCTCATCTGCCTCCACAATTAGCGGTGTAGATAGAAGCTTTTGCTGCTGCTTCTTCCATTCCTTGTAGTACAGGGATTCAAGAAACTTCACATCCCTTGACACAGTCAGCTTCTGGGTGGTCAAGTCCCACAGCAGCCACCCTTTGTGATCCTTTGCAATCCCCAAGTGCACACCCCATCTTCCAGAAGCCTCCAACTTCCCCCTTTTCTCCTTAGGCACATGAAACACCACCATGCACCCAAATGCCCTCAGCATATTCATAGCTGGAGCACTCCTATACCACTTGGTATATGGGATCCACTCCTTATCCCCAACCGTAGCCAGCACCCTGTTCTTCACAAGGGCGACCTGCCTCAGTGTAGACACCAAAAACGGATCAGGCAGCCCTGCACGCCCAATGAGAGTGCGTGCCCCCTCCTGCAGGGTCCTGTTGAACGTCTCAGCCACGCCATTCTGCTGCGGTTTGTAGGGCACTGTCAGTTGATGTTGGATCCCCTTCCTCTTCAGCTCCCCC